TCACACACACCCGTCCTGCGCCCTCTCCCCTCCCGGCTGGGAAGAGCCCCCCACCTGCTCACCTGTGGGGGCTTTACCTCCCCCTGCCCTGACACATACCCCACAGGTGGTCTCCGCCCCGCCAGGCAGAGCCGGGGCCCCCCGACATGCCCCACACGCCTTGGGCACAGGTGCCCGCAGACCAGCAGCTCAGCCCCGAGAACGTTCAGGAATATCCCCCCCCCACCCTGAGGGTGGGCCCGGGGGAGGTGGGCCCAGCCCTCAGAGCCCCTCCCGTGCCCACCAGGCCCACATCTCGGCCCACCCACATGTGGCCAGACCCCCAGGGCGAAGCTGCAGCCTCGTGAGGGTTGGGCCAAAGGCTCCGAGGGAGGGTGGGCGGGTCGTGCTCCAGCCGCCACACGTGGGGCGGGACGGCTCTGGCATGGCCCAGCACTGGGACCCCCGCCACCCCCCCACACCCCCTGCCTCCATGGCCCCCCCCCCCGCCGTGGCCACACCCCCCACCCTGCTTGTCCACTTGTCAGCTCGGCCCTTCTCCACAGGTGCCAAACCTCCTACCCGGGAGGGGATGGAGCGAGCGATTCAGGAGCTGGTCACTCGGCTCTGTCTATTCCTTCATTCATTCCCCCCGGGCACGAAACAGGTGTGAGGCCCACTGGTTCCCATGGAGCCCCCGCCCCCCACAAGAGGGACACAGTTGAAATGGCACGAATGGTCCCGTGAAATGGGAGCCCAGGGCAGGAAGGAACCAAGGGCTGGGACAAGGGGGCAAAGGCAGAGGATGCCTCAACTCTGGCATGTGCAAAGGCCCTGGGGCTTCCAGCAGCAGGAGCTGGTGCCATGGCCAGGATGAGAGCACAGGAGGGACACGGAATGGGCAGCAAATGCCTTTCTCGGCCCCCCCCCCACTGGGTACTTCTTGCGCCCCTCAGCAGGTGGCCCCGACCCACTGGGCCCGTGCAGGTGCTCAGACACGCTGCTCTGGAGAACCAGAGGCCAAGCTCTGACGCACATCACGCGGCCTTGCACTCGCTCCCAAGAGCACAGCAAGGGAACCGGTCCCCAGCGGAACCAGCACGCTGGACTTGTTCGGCTGGCGAGGTTGGGACCACACCCGGCAGGGCTCAGGGCTTGCTCCTGGCTCTGTGCTCAGGGGACCCCGACAGGACACCAGGACCAAAACAGGTCGGCTGCATGCGAGGCCAGGGCCTTCCGGTGCTAACAGTCCTCCCAGGACGAGGCACCCAGGGGAAACCCACGGTCACGCACCCGTCCTCTGCTCTCCAGCAGGGCGGCCTCCCAGGGAAGGGCCACGCAGGCCAACGCAGGCCCCGAGTCTGGTCCCTGAAGCCACATCCCCCGAGGACCACCAGGTGCTGTGGCGGCCCGAGCACCGCTCGGTCCAACCACTGGTCAGGCCCAGTTGGGAAAGAATCCCCGAGAGTGCCCTGAACGTCCTGAGCACCCCTGGGAGCCCCGGAATAAAGACCAGAACTTTCCGGAGTGAAGCAACGAGAGCGAGGCCTGGACACCAGCGCGGTACACACACACCAACATGCATGCACACACACAGGACACATGTGCACGTGCAGAAGGACACAGGTGCACCAGTCTGGCACACACATATCGACACGCGTGCGCACACACACACACACGACACACATGCAGAAGGACACAGGTACACCATTCTGGCACACACACCGATACGCATGCATGCACACACAGGAAACACGTGTACATGCAGAAGGGCACAGGTGTACCAGTCTGGCACATGCACTGACACGCGTGTACGCACACAAGGACACGTGAGCACATGCAGAAGGACACAAGTGCACCAGCCTGGCACACACACACCAGCACACGTGCACACGTCCAAGGACACACGTGCACACACAGGACACTGGTGTATGCACACAAGCACGCACGCTTGTGCACAAGCAGGACACAGGTACACCGGCATGGCACACACACACTGACATGTGTGCACACACAGAAGGACACAGGTGCGCCAGCAGGGCACACAGACACGCGTGCACGCACACGTGTGCACACACAAGACACACTGATGCATGCATGCACATATATGCACACATGGACAGGGATGCACATGAGCACATGCGGACGAGGACCCAGACCACACACGCACACATCATCAACACACAAGCACACGGGGCTGGTGGCCCGGCCCCTGCCCTGAGCAGTGTGGATGGTGCCCAGAATGGCAGGAAAGGAGCCCCCGGCCCGGCTCGGCCTGAGGAAGCCCCCTCCCTCCTTGTGGGGCCCGAACCCGCCTTCGCCCGAGAATGGCCACATGCTAAGGGTCCTGACTGGGCATCGGGAGACGAAATCAGTGGTTCTGAGTCTGGGTCGTCGAAACTTTCTTCGGCGAGCACCGCCCCGGCGGTGGGGTCCCAGCGACCTCCAGGAAGACCCAAGCCACAGGCCCAGAGCCAGGAGCCCAGCTACCGGTCCCGCAAGGAACCAGCTTCCCCGGGGCCCCGCACAGGGCACCCAGCCATGCTCAAGCCCAGGGCCCAGCACACGGCCGGTCAGCAAGTGCCCTTCCCTCGCTGCCCCAAAGTGGGTGCTGCAGACCCCCCACGTTCCCCCGGGGCGGGGGGCGACCAGAACCCCTGAGGGGGGAGGAGACAGGGGCACTTCCTGTCTGTTCCCTAAAGGAGGCAGATTCTCAGGGGTCTCTGGTACAAGAGGTGCCACTGAGGCCTGGGAGGGGACACACCAGCACCTCACACAGCACGTGGCCAGGCAGGTGCCCGTGACCCCTGGCTCCTGCTGCATGGCCGCTCCTGACGCCAGGAATGAGCCACTCAGGCCCCAAACACCTGGCTCACAGGGAACCAGAGGGCCACGGAACAGAGGGTCCCTGGGAGAGAGAGCCACGGAACAGGGGGTCCCCAGGAGAGGGAGCCACAGGACAGGCGGCCACAGGAGGGGGCCACGGGGACGGGGGGCACAGGGGACATGGCCACAAGGGATGTGACCACAGGGGGTGCATGGGGGAGGAAGCCAAGGGGGAGGGCCACAGCCCAGGCCTGTCAGGCAGAGCTCGGGAGCTGCAGCCCACCGGCCTCACCCTCAGCGCCCAGGAGGAGGCTGACCAGAACCTCTGGCCCGAGAGACACGCGCCTGCTAGGTGGGCCCCAGCCAGGACCCTGGAGCCCTGGCCAGAGGCCAGCGCTCCGCACACCCCACACCAAGCCACCGCCGGGCAGAGAAGCGCCTCCAACACCGACGGCCTGGCCACGGCGCACGCGGGGGGCCGCCAGGTAGGACTCCCTCGCGCCGCCGGGCCGCGAGCACCAGCCGTTTCCAATCGAGAGCGGCACGGACGGCTTCCACGGGCGTGATGAAATGTTTCTTCTGCTCTGGCAATTACGACGCACAAAGTCGGCTTCCCTCCGGGCCACCCCCGACATCAAAGGCTGGGGATTCAAAGCCATTCACGCTGCACTGAAACCTCACGATGGGGCTGGAAAATGCGAGTGGGTTCTGGGCATAAATATGCAGCAGTTAAAAGGCGAGTTCTAACGAAATTACACTGCAGCAGCCCCACAATGTGGAAACTTCCAGAACCAGAGTCCTCCTGCTAGACATCAAGAGGGGCCGCGCCGGAGAGCCCGGCTCTGACCGCTGGTGGGCCAGATGTGCCGCTCCCGCTGCGGGGCCGGGGGTGGGGTGCCACCCCGGCCCCCCGGGCCTGAGGGAAATGGGGCACCCGCAGCTTTCCAGGCTGCTCGGAAGCCGCTGACCGCAGAACGTTCTCTCGGGCTCCGCGTCCCGCCGAGGCCACATCTGCCCTGGGTCCCAGGCCTGATCACCCACACACCCCTCCTCCCCCCGCCCGGGGTGGGGTGGGGGGGTCCCCTGAGTGGCCGGTTCCATCTGCAGGCTGCTGCTGCTGCTCAGAGCACCAGGGCCTGGAAGAGTGTCGGGTCTCTGACATAGAAAGTGCAGGAGCCAGGACCCCCGTGCAGTGCGTGCGCGCGTGCGTGGGGGGTGGGCTCGAGGCAGGAGCAAAGCCCCCCAGGCAGGAGCGCCCAGAGCCCAGGGGCCGGGCCCGAGCCAGGGCGCAGTCGGATCCTGGGCACACTCGGGGGTTCTCCGGGGTCGCCGGAAAGCAGAGCGGGCGGGCGGGCGGGCGCGCGAGGGGGCCGGGGGACCCGCGGCCGTGACATCCCGACGCGGTCCCGGGGAAACTTGGAGGGCGGCGGCGGCGGCGCGTTCTGCGTTTCCAATTATAATAGAGTAATTGTGTTGCCATAGTTACCGCAGAATTCTGCAATAACTTTTGTTGCCTGTAATTGCCCGAGTGTTTATTTGTGTACAAGCAGCTGAGTTTCCTTAATTCAATCTCTTCCCTCTCCCCAACCGGCACCTCCCGGGCCGATGCCGCCGCGGCCACCCGGGCCGCCGCGGGACGCCGCCGCCGCCGCCAACGGGGCCGGGGCCGGGGCCGGGGCCGGGGCCCGCTCGGAACCGCGGGCGGGACCGGCCGGAACTCGGGCGGGCGGGCGGCGGCCCGGGGGGCGCGGGCGCGGGCGGGGGGCGGCGGGGGCCGCGGGGGCCGGGCGGGCGGGCCCCGCGCGCGCGCCCCGGGGCCCGCCCGGCCCGGCCCGGCCCGGCCGAACCGCAGCCCGGCCCGCTCCCGGCCCGCTCCCGGCCCGGCCGCCCGGCGCCCATCGGGCGGGCCCCGCGGCCGCGCCGGTGCCGCGCGCCCCCCGCGACGCCCCCGAGCCGGGCGGGGCGGCGCGGGCCGGGCCGGGCCGGGGTGGGCGCGCGGGCCGGGCCTCGCGGGCCTGCGGGAGCGGCGGGCCCGGGCCCGGGCGGCGTTTTTCTGCAAACTCACAGCCGCGGACAAAGTTACATAAACGCGCGTGGCGCGGCCCCGGCCCACCTGCGGCGCGGCCTGCGGCCTGCACGGGCGGCGGCGGCGGCCGCGGGCGGGTCCACCTGACAATGGTCGCGGCCGGCCTTACCGGGCGGCGGGCGGGCGCTCCGGGCCGCATCGCGGCGGCGGCGGCGAAGGCGGGCGGCGGGCGCGGCGGCGGCGCGGCGGGCGCGGCGGCGGCGGCGGCGGGCGCGGCGGCGGCGGCGGCGGCGGGGACGGGGCTCCGCGGCGGCGGCCCCACAACCTCCCCTCCTCATTCACAAAAAATTGACCCACGTTGAACCATGATGCTGCTCCCCCCGCCGGCGCCGAGCCGGCCGCCCATTGGCCGCGCGCGCCGCCCGTCAGCCGCCGCGGCCCCGCCCGCCCGCCGGCGGCGCGCCGCCCATTGGCCGCGGCGGGCGCGCGGCCCCGCCCCCGGCGGGCCCCGCCCTCCCGGCCGGTTTCTAATGAAGAGCTCGTCAATTACGGCTCGGCCCCGCCCTCCCCGGGCGCCCGGCCGCGCGCCCATTGGCCCGCGCGGGCCCGGCCCGGCCCCGTCCGCGCCCGCCCCTCGGCCCGCGGCGGCCAATCGCCGCGCCCGGCGGCCCGGGCCGGGCGGCGGGGCCCCGCCCCCGCCCGCCCCCCCGCGCACGTCCCGGGCCCCATTGGCCGCCGCGGCTGCCAATCCCGCGAGGCGGGGCTGGCGGAGGACGCTCCGGCGCCAGTCGCGGGCGCTTCGCGGTGGGGCCGGCGCGGCGGGCAGTGCCCGGCGGCGCGGGCCCGGGCCCGGCCCGCCCGGCCCCGCCGCCGCCGCGCAGAGCCGCTGGGCGCCAGCCCGGGCCCCGCGGCGCTCGCGGCCCGCGGGGGAGCCGGCCAGGCCCGGCCGCGCCTCCATGTTGGGTCCTGGCAGCGGGTCACGTGCCGCCCGCAGACGCGGCGGCGGCGCGCGAGGCCAGTGCGCAGGCGCGGGGCCCCGCCCTGCCCCGCGGCGGGAAGGCGGCGGCGGCGGGGGTCGCGCCCGCCCGCGGCCGCAGCCACGTGAGCCGAGCACCTTGGCCAGGTGCGGCCGCGTGGGCGCCGCCGTCCCGCGTGCGCCGGAGCCCGGCGGGCCACGGCGGGCGGGGGTCGCGCGGGACGCCGCCCCCGAAGCCCGAGGTCCGCGGCCAGGCCCGCGCGGGCGGGCGGCGTCGGGGCATCTCGGGGACAGCAGCCAGGACAGGGCAGAGGGCGGGAGCCCCGCGCGCCCACCCGAATCCGGCGCGCTCGGGGACCTGCTGCACGGTCCCGCCCCTCCACCCGGGTCCCCGAGGGTCCACGCCCCTGGACACCCCTGCACGGTCCCTCCAGTCCACCCGGGGTCCCCGAGGGTCCACGCCCCTGGACACCCCTGCACGGTCCCGCCGGTCCACCGGGGGTCCCCGAGGCTCGACCCCCCTGAACACCCCTGCACGGTCCCGCCAGCCCACCCGTGGTCACTGAGGATCCACGCCCCTGGACACCCCTGCACGGACCCTCCCGTCCACCGGGGTCCTCGAGGGGCCGCACCCTGCACGGTCCCTCCCATCCACCCGCGTGCCCGAGGGCCCACACCCCTGGGTACCCCTCCACGGACCCTCCCGTACACCTGGGGCCGCGCCCCTGGACTCCCTGCATGGTCCCGCCCGTCCACCCGGGTCCCCGAGGGTCCACGCCCCTGGACACCCCTGCACGGTCCCGCCGGTCCACCGGGGGTCCCCGAGGGTCCACGCCCCTGGACACCACTGCACGGTCCCGCCAGCCCACCCGTGGTCACTGAGGATCCACGCCCCTGGACACCACTGCACGGTCCCGCCCGTCCACCCGGGTCCCTGAGGGTCCACGCCCCTGGACACCCCTGCACGGTCCCGCCGGTCCACCGGGGGTCCCCGAGGGTCGACCCCCCAGAACACCCCTGCACGGTCCCTCCAGTCCACCCCGGGTCCCCGAGGGTCCATGCCCCTGGACACCCCTGCACGGTCCCTCCAGTCCACCCGGGGTCCCCGAGGGTCCACGCCCCTGGACACCACTGCACGGTCCCGCCAGCCCACCCGTGGTCACTGAGGATCCACGCCCCTGGACACCACTGCACGGTCCCGCCCGTCCACCCGGGTCCCCGAGGGTCCACGCTCCTGGACACCACTGCACGGTCCCGCCAGCCCACCCGTTGTCACTGAGGATCCACGCCCCTGGACACCCCTGCACGGACCCTCCTGTCCACCGGGGTCCTCGAGGGGCCGCACCCTGCACGGTCCCTCCCATCCACCCGCATGCCCGAGGGCCCACACCCCTGGGTACCCCTCCACGGACCCTCCCGTACACCTGGGGCCGCGCCCCTGGACTCCCTGCTTGGTCCCGCCCGTCCACCCAGAGTCCCCGAGGGGCCGTGCCCCTGGACACCCCTGCATGCGTCCACCACGTCCAGCCTGGGTTCCTGGAGGGGCTGCACTAGCCCTCCCCAGCAGAGCCGGACGCCGAGTCCCCCCACCTCGCTGTCCGCACATGGGGATAGACGGACGCTCCTCTGGCCACTGCTGCCGCTTCCCAAGAGAACACTTAGGTTTCCTCAAAAATCGATGCTTTCTGCTTTTACTATAGAATCTTACTATGTGCTATTTAAATTTACTATTTGCTAACTTACTGCTTACAATGTATGCTTTAAGTTTCTTTTGCGATTTTTTTCCCCCAACGCTCAGGAATTTTAAAGAAATTTATTGGGGCTGGAGAAATAGTACAGCGGGGAGGGCGCTTGCCGGGCATGCGGCAGTCATGGGTTCAAGCTGGGCATCCCACAGGCCCCCGAGCACCGCCAGAAGTGATTCCTGACTGCAGAGCCAGGAGTCCACCCTGAGCATCGCCAGGTGTGGCCCAGAAACAAAATTAAAAATAAAAGAGTTAGGGAACAGGCCCATTTAACTATCAATGTAGGTTGTCCTTCCTGTAGGATGGGGGAGAGGGGAAGGGAGAGGTGTAGACAGCACCTGGCCGGGCGCAGGGCTGACTCCTGGCTCTGTGCTCAGGGCTCCCTCCCGGCTTCGTGCTCGGGCTGACTCCTGGCTCCGTGCTCAGGGTTCACTCCAGTGCTCAGGGGATTTGAACAGAGACTGGCCACACACAGTGACCTTAACTCCGTGTTATCTCTCCAGCCCATTAGACCATCCCTGATGCCGGCAGGGCCAGAATCAGATGCCATTTGCATAGTCAAACCACAAGTGGGGTGCGGTGAGGATGCAGGTCATATGTAAGTTCCCTCAGATAGGAGCGAAGATGGCTTCTGATGATTCTCTTCATCAGTGAGCCTTGTGGAATGTGTGTGTGTGTGTGCGTGTGCGCACGTGCGTGCGTGTGTGTACGCGTACATATATGCTGTAGGATAACACTCTTTTGTCCTTCCTCAGGTAGCTTAGGTTTGTCAGGTCACACCCATCTAAGAACACTGAACTTGTATTGTAAGCAGTGTCCTTTCTGTGTGCACACAGGAAGACAGTTAATATTATGCTTTGTAACTTGGGAGTTGATTGACTCCGAATAATATTTACTCCTGGGAATCTGATTTCTTGACTCAGTTGCCCTTAGTTCCTAGCACCCCAAAAGCAGGGTCCCGACGAGGGACTGAATGGACCCAGGGCAAGCTGTGAGCTACCCTGGCATCGAAATGGGCCAGGCCAAAGAGCCATGATACTCAACTATAAGTTGAGGGCATGATCATGGACAAATGCTGGCATGATCCAAAAGTAAGTAACGACGAGACTAGGACCCTGCTGGAGCTAGGAAGATCAACCTGGCCTGAGGACTGCGGAATGTATAGTGAGATGTTCTCAGGAAGAACCAAACTAAATTTATATCTCTTACTGTGCTCAAACGGAATGACATTGCTAGAAATATTAGAAGTAGATTTATTACAACTATTTAAGTAGATTACTAACTGAGGGAAGAACACACCCTTGTTGGGATCCCACCCTTGGGTGGATCTCCTAGTAATCTGAAGTAATCTCTGTAGATGAGATTTTATCCTTGAGTTAATCTCCTGGAGGAGTGGTCTTACCTCTCTTTGTTGATTCGTCAGTATTCAACGCACCTTTATGTCACCGCCTTATGTGACTGCTATATAAACTAAGACGTAAGCTCGGAGAGGGAGTGAGAAGCGAGAGAGCTCACTCGGAAAGGGAGTGAGAAGCGAGAGAGCTCGGGCTCCAGAGATCCAGAGTCAGAGCCAGAAGGAGAGAGCTTCCAAGACTGGGGCCCAGGAGAGAAGGAGGCAGAGAGAGACAGGAGTGAAGAGGATTGGAATAAACTACTATTGATATAGACCGGCCTGGCCCCCGTTTCTTCTTCCGTCTGCCTTGGCCAACAGCCGTTCCGATCCAGGCCACACACAGCGGCCCAAGAGCACCGAACGCAGGCGGTGAGACAGTGCCGTCCAGTGAGCCCACACAACCTTCGGCGTGATAAGATTTTACAATATGCCATTTCCAATTTTCCAGTATTTTTTAATTCATGAAGTAAAAGGTAATGATTAGGAAGTCTAAGAAGAAATGCCTCCGCCAAAGCCTAACTCGAGGCAAAGAGCAGGAACCGCAGCGCTGCCCAGGACGGGGCCCGCACACGCGCAGACACGAGGCCCCAAATGCAGTGCTGGCATGAATGGCACCAGGAATTGGCAGGGCACAACCAAGCTTTGCTTTACAGACGTCCACCGGGCCCGGCCGGAGAGGGAGACGCCCTGTGGATCCCGGGTGCTGTGGTCGAGGCAGGTGGGGGGTCTGGCGGGTGGAGCTGGCCCAGGAAGGTGGGCTGGGGGCTGGGGGGCGGGGGGCCGCTGGTCTGGGCTCCCGTGTTCCCTCCACCCGGGCTTTGCTCAGAGGCCCGTCAGCGTCCGGAACGCAGATGCGGCGGCAGACAGTCCAGGCGTCGGGGCAGCGGGCACACAGGCAGCGGCATCTTTAGCTCCGGGAGCAGACCAGCAAGATGGCCGCCTGCAAAGCAAATATGTCTATTTTCAAATCCTTATCGTTTTCACTCTCCGACACCAATAGCGGACACGCAGTGGCCTCGGCACCGGCGGGAATATTCGCTGAGCATTCGCCGTGGAAGGCCCGTGCTCAGCATTTTTGATGATGGAAAGTTTCCAATCACATTAGCAAAGGGACATTTTAAACACC